GGGGGCAATATGCTGACTCTCTGTAAACCGCTTAGAGAGGGCTGAAAGCCCTATGAAGCGGTATATAAGTCTACTGCTATTGCTATTGCTATGTCTCTTATTCAAGTACTATGTAGGTATGATTCAAAGGAATACTTCTTATTTAACCCTGGAACAAAGATAAGGCCATATAAAGGAAAATGGCCAAGAAATGAGTAGTAAAACAATTCCCAAATATTATACATCAGAATAACAATATTGCACAATGTTATCAAAAAGGCAATCTGTGATATAAACTTTTTCAAAATATTGGTAAGAACGAAGCATGCTCGGGGGTGATGAAATATTCTCTAAAAGTTGGGAAGGAACCAAAATCATAGCTGAAATTGAATGAAATAACCTCGAGGCTCATAGAATGCTGCACACATTGTACACCTCAATTATCAACATCTGATTTAAAAACAATTAAAATAGCTTTTATTATTTCTAGCTTAAGTCATTGTACTATGGAGGCTCCCAAAATTAAACTATTTATTCTGTTGATAATTTTGCAAATAATGTATTGTATTGTTAAGAATCAAATATGAGAAATTATGTAGAGTGAAATGAGTATATTAAAGTACTTAAAAAGTGCAACCAATTTACACTATTCTTTCCAACTCTGTACACAGAAATTCATTTATATTAAGTAATAGTTCAAGTTTCTTTATTCTCTATAGGTCAACTTTTGTGATAAACGACAACTAGTTGAATAATCAAAACTACCAAAATAGTGACAGAGCATGACACATACAGAACCTCTTCAGAAATGCTGTAGTACTAGTTCTCAAAGTAGGCAAACTGCTTTGTCTTTTGTCTAGAATTTTATGAATATAATAAAGAAATAATAAAAAGCGGCACCCAAGTAAAACAGTATCTATACAAAGATGTTACTTTTCTGGTGGAAAACCCCCATCTACTATTACCTAAAGATAAGTGTGCATTATTTTTTTTAGGAATTCATTTACACATTTCCTCAGAAGTTTTTAAAAAATAGCATGTTTACAGAAAATGCCATATCAATTCTTCTAAGTGAGATATAGCACAATGCCACCACTAAGTGGTGCTTGGCTGTACGTTTCATAAATGGATTTTAAAGTAGTACATACATACATATCTATAGTACTTATGATCAAAGACAAATTTATAAAACACTTAAAATCTAACAAGAGTCTTTTCCATCCAATATATGATCAATAAACTGTTGTCATATTTTCTGAATGGTCCCACAAGAAATAAGATGCATTAAAATTCATATGAATTCACTTCATCTGCCCAGACTATAGAGCATTATAGAGCTGAATTTTAAAGGAACATTACTGAGCAGAGCCACACCCTACATCTCGAACTTTGTACCTTCTTTCACTTTTATCTAGGGAAAATATTTAGATAATCACATTTGTACATAAAGTTACAATATATTAAATTCTGTCCCACAGCATTAAGCATCCTATGTTTAGTTACATATAGGTGTATAGGAAATCAAGGTGAAACATTAATTAAGGCTTTCATAAAGTAAAGACTGGTTTCAAAGTAGCTCAACTCTAAAGCTCATTTGAATCAACAAGGAAATGCTAGCTCAGAAAATGCAGCAGTTTAATGCAAAAAAATAAAAATGTTTTGAAAAATCTATAAGAACATTATCACAGCAAAAATATTCTTATTTATAGAGTTTGCCTGCGCACTGCTCCTGGGGGTGCAGCAGGCAAACACTGTCTGCGTGGAGCTCCTGGCAGTGTGGGGTATCAAAAGGTGGTGCACAGTGGGGGTGGGGGGCAGCCAAACTCCCCATTCGGCATCATGCAAGCAGAGGCAGGGGAGAGGCAGCAGCCAAACTGCCAGTTAGGTGTCAGACCAAAGTCCAGGTGCGGAGGCAATGGTGGGGGTGAAAATGGGAACGGGGTGAAAGTAGAAAGCCAGAGGCCCATTGGCCAGGAAGAATCGCTGGGGGAGGGCCAGCAGAGAAGGAAAGCTGGCTGTAAATGGGCTGAGGCAGGTGGCTGGAGGTGAAGGAGGCACGGCCAAGGAAACACTTATGTTTAAGACTAATAAAGTTTAAGTCTCTAAAATAAATTCAGTCTAGCAAAGATTTCAAGAGAGTTTTTAAAAAAGTGATTATCATACTGAGTTATATGCACACTTTCCAATACAAATATTTGTGACTAAAATCTTTTCAACTAAACACCTTAAAGCAGAATTGAAAACTGAAACCTTTTGTAGCTCAGCCCCTTCTTCCTGTGATGTTATCATGTAAGTTGAGTAAGCATGGGTAGGACTTTTTGTTTAATCTTCTCTGAAGACGGAAACGCATAATAGCAGAGTAGCATCTGAGGAAGGAGCTGAAATTCAGCAAGAAAGGACATGCTTCGGAATTTTATTCCATCGTACAGTTCAACGACAAGAAGATTGAAAACTGCAACACAGTGATGAAACCTGGACGTCTATTTTCCTAGGAGTTTCAAAGTTACTTAATCTAAGTTTACAAAGGATTTATTTGTAATATTTTTTTATTTCCAATATTTTTTCCAGTGAATGAGAAGGAGCAATCTCAGCATTTGAAGAAATTACATTTTGGATTTTAATTAATTTGAAGGATAATGTTCCTTATTTCTGAAATTTACTACTGTCTAGATTAACATTTTTGGAAGAAAGGAACGACATATTGATCAATAGAACTGGCTTATTGAACATGAAAATTTCAAATAATGTGGACCCAAGTGAAGGAAAAGACTAGATTTACAAACCATCTGAGGATTTACTACAACTATAACAAAGGTACAGACTTACTGAGGAATTTTGTAAATAAATAATTGTCATTATGGTGGCAAATTCCAACTGTACTGTTCAAGACTCCTTTAAATATACTTTATATGGCTGTGTGTTTAGTATGGTATTTGTCCTTGGTTTAATATCAAACTGTGTTGCTATTTACATCTTTACGTGCACACTAAAAATCAGAAATGAAACTACAACGTACATGCTTAATTTAGCAATATCAGATCTCCTTTTTGTGTTTACATTACCATTCAGAATTTACTCTTTTGCATCGAAAGACTGGCCATTTGGAGATGTACTATGCAAGATTTCTGTCACACTGTTTTATACAAACATGTATGGGAGCATTTTGTTTTTAACCAGTATCAGTATTGACCGTTTTTTAGCAATTGTATATCCATTTTGGTCAAAGACAATCAGAACAAAAAGAAATGCAAAGATCATCTGCATTATAATTTGGATAATTGTGACAACAGGAAGCATACCAGCAAGTTTCTTTCAATCCACCAATGCTCGTGTTAGTACTGAAGGATGGAAACACAATACATGTTTTGAACACTTCTCTGAAAAAACTTGGAAAACCTACCTTTCAAGAATTATTATTTTCATTGAAACAGTAGGCTTTTTTATTCCTCTCATACTGAATGTGACATGCTCTGCAATAGTTATAAGGACATTAAATAAGCCAATTACACTGACCAGGAATAAATTAAGTAGAAAAAAAGTTCTACGAATGATACTTGTTCACTTACTGATCTTCTGTTTCTGTTTTGTTCCTTATAACATCACCCTAATATTTTATGCCCTGATGAGAACTCAAGCATGGGTTAATTGTTCAATTGTTACTGCTGTTAGAGTTATGTATCCAATCACTCTGTGTATTGCTATTTCAAACTGTTGTTTTGACCCTATAGTATATTATTTTATTTCAGCCAGTATTCAAAATTCAATAAAAATGAAAACTTCATCAACTAGAAGACAGAGATTTTCTGAAACTCAAGTTTCTGATACTCAAGTTCGATCCCAAGCATTAAAAGCAAGAGTACTGGACATTGAATCTACTATATAAATGGTGTTGACAGAGTTAGAAAATAGAATGTTCAAGAATGTTCTTATTTTTTCTTCAAATATAGTTAAATTGAATTTAAAAGTTGTGAATTTTAAACACTATTTTTAATCTGTAAGCTGTTGTTTCATGAAATTTATATTATCAAATTAGAAAAATATTTCATCTATGTGGATTTAAAAGAAAATATTTTTATTATTCAATATCTTAGGAAAAGGAGGTGTTATAATAAAGTGCTAATAGCTTTCCTTATTATCCAATAAATTGTTTTCTTTCTTATGTTACCAGTTTCAATATTAACATCATTGACAATTTAACATTTTATTCAAAGGTAATTTACTATTGAAAAGACTGTGGAACTGTATAATAAATTCTATCATGTAAAAGTGAAGAGAAATAGTTTATGGTGATTGTTTATGAACCTTGGTAAAATCTTGTTTATTTGAATTATGAAGTATTAAACATAACCTTCAACTATCACATGGAATTAACAAGTTCTAAGTGATATATTATTGTCTGAAAAGTTTTGGTGACAGTTGAAAAAATTCCTACTGTGAATGAGAAAATATTTGCATAGCCTTTGGACAGAATATTATGAGATTTTCAGATACATTTTTGGGATGTTAGTTAATTGCAGCAAAAAACTGGAATTATATTGTACCTTAGGAGTGGGATCCTCAACCTCTGGGCCATGGCTCACTACTGTGCCGTGGCTTATTCATAATTTGGCCGTGTGAGTGGCTGGCCAGAGCGTGCAAGCACGCAAATCAATTTGTGTGAGCGATGGGCTGGCCAGAAATGCCTGCTGCCCTGCCACTCACACAACCGGAGCTGCGCATGCATATGCTACCCTGCCACTCATGCTATCCAGTTCCCCTCTCCCCCCCCAACCAGGCCGCCAAACCACAAAGGTTGGGGACTACCGCATAAGAAAGACACATAAGCATCTTTCACATAAGCATCTTTCTAAGTAGATAACTTATATTTTTTAATTGTTTTAGCTAGTAATAATAGAGAACAATTAATGCACTAAGTTCACAATATAAGATACTGTCAATTTACTTTTAGCTTAAAATATGAACCTAGCTATACAGGTAGTTCTCAATTTATGACCACAATTGACTCCAAAATTTTTGTTGCTAAGTTAAATGAGTTTTGTTAAGTGAGTTTTGCCCCATTTTATGACCTTTCTTGCCACAGTTATTAAGTGAATCACTGCAATTGTTAAGTCAGTAACACAGTTGAAAAATGAATCTGGCTTCCCTATCAACTTTGCTTGCCAGAGTGTTGCAAAACACTGCAACCATCAAATACGTTCCAGTTGCCATGTGTCTGAATTTTGATTATGTGATGAATGAGAATGCCGCAAAGGTCTTAAGTGTAAAAAAACAGTCATAAGTAACTTTTTCCAGTGCTGTTGCAACTTCAAATTGTCACTAAATGAATGGTTATAAGTTGAGGACTACCTGTAGTGATATAGCTATACAATTTATTTTGATTTATAAACTTCACAACTTAGGGTTTTTTGAGTACCTGGCTAATTGTGGCTTATTGAGCAATCCATAGTTTTAAAAAATGAAATAAGTGAGTAAACTATCGTGAGATTCCAATATTTTTTTCTTCTGGTCTATACTTTACACATTTATTCCCTTTAATTTTACTGTTTAGTTTGATTAGTCTTTAAAAGATAGCTGAGAGCTCAGATAGATTTTTATATATTGTGCTGGAGGTAACACATCCTGTAAATTGCACAATTTCATTTGGAAACTACTATCGAGCAGCCATTAATTGCTCGGCAACTTTTACCAGAAAAATAAACTACTTCACCTTAAATTACTGTAAAGACCAATAATCAGTTGGTTTTATATTCTAAGCGATTTTAAAGGTTCAGTGTCTTACAGAAAATTTTACAATAATCAAATCATAATCAAATTAATACTTATATAGTAATGGTATGAAAAAAACTGCAATTTTACTGGCAAGTAAAATTGGCCAATAATTCTCAACTGGAGAAAGGCACTTCTGGTTACAATCAATATCAAAACATAGTAAATTACAAATATATTGATAATCTTTATTCAAAAGCAAAATGTGCAAGAAATCATCTTCTCTATAAAGCTATGACTAAGGCTGAGTAAAGCATTCAAAAGAGATGTTTCCAACATGTAGAAACACATGACTCTTTAATTAAATAAAGCAACAATTTTATTTACAAGGTCCACACAATTCTTTTGGAAGCTACACCCAGTTGTCTCTGCATGTATGTGCATGCAAAGTCACTTCTCATTTAGGAGCAACCAGAGCATTCAACCTTAAGAGCTGGCCTCCAGCAATCTGCCATTTTAATTCCACATAACCCTCTGGGCCTCACAGGAACCAACATATTTCTTAGAAAATAAATATAACATGTGGCAATGAGCCAGACTTTTCTCTGAAATATTTGTAATTGCGTGGTTATGGAAGGGGTTAGAGTAATTATAACAAACTACCAAAGGAAAACTTTGGGTTGGACAATGCTACAACTATGTTGTAGAAGTCACAATGTGTGTTTGTTTATATAAACATTAAGGTAGCTTCTGTAAGCAACTTTAATCATTCCTTGTTCTTTGTATTTTACTAATTATTTCTTTGGAGACTTTAGGATTCTGAATATGATTTCTTTCCTGTGCATGTCATTTTTTCCCCTATGATTCAATTCACCAGAAACTCGGAACTTCTCCAGTTCATCATGCTGGTTGGGAAATTCTGGGAATTGGAAGTCCACATATTTTAAAATTGCCAACTTTGAGAAACACTGACTTAAAGCAAGTATTAATTTGTCTCTGCTAATAAGTATTATTGCAAATTCTGAAGAGTATCTTGTAAATAATGTTCCAAAATATGCAATTTAAATTCATTCATTCATGGGGTTTTTAATCTGTTATTCTAAAAAACTATTTTTTTCCTCTGTATACAGTAGCAGACATTGAAATATTTAACATACCTAAAGATAATTTCTATCTAACTTTCTGTATGCCCATGTCCATTTAATATATAAAATTATTTCATGCATATACACACACAAGCACACAGATTTATCAGAAACTAATTTCCTATGTTCTATTTTTTTAAGTCAGTTTTCTAGTAACTTCGCAGCCTATTATCTGTATTCAGAGGTTTTTTTAAAATATTTTTTTTATTTTTAATTTAAAACAAACACAACATCCTTCTTTACATGCTGTTGAAAGTGTATCAGTTGGTTATAAAAAGAATTTCGTGCATCTCTTCCA